CCTGAATTATTGGATCCTCTGGACGAGATCCAATAAGAGCCCATGAGAGATTATTGGATAGAGATCCACTAATATAAAAGGCTTGGGTTATTGGATACAGATCCAATACCCACTAGGGGAGGATCCATTAGGGTTTGACAGGGGACCTCTATAAATAGGAGGGATTCAGAGCCTCATAGGCTAGAGCCTTTGCTTGCCTCTCCTATTCTCCTTCCCCTCTCCACCTCAGAACAGGCCTGGAGTTTTGAGGAGCATCGTCGCAGTCCCACTATGTGGATCACCGCTAGAGAGGAGGATGCTTGACCTCCTTCACCCTCTCCTAAGGATCTGTAAGGAAACAGGGATATACGATCTCCCTAGGTAACACAATCAACTCTATACGTAGTTTTTTCAGTTTCGTGGATTTTGCGCACCAATCTTCGCACGACGACGAACATATCTTTGGGAATCGAAGATTTTGTTTTCTTGTTCTTCCACTGCGCATGTGATTTTGCCCTCCAAGATTTCCCAACAAGAATATCATCAACCAATCATCATATGACACGTCTTTAATGTGATATTGAAGCTATAAAAAGGTGACAAAAGTCACCCCCCACTAGTTTGCCCATGTGGATATAGGTCCAAAGCAGACAATTATAGGTTGTCTCTATCCTTGTCACCTATATAGATAAAAAGTCAAATTAAAATTGTTAAAGGCCGTTGAAAGCTGCCCACCTTGAAAAATATTTTATGAAATATTCTCTCTTTACTACTAAGTATAAGAATTCACTTTCAACATAGTTACAAGGGCGACACGTTTTATTACTCATGACCTAACTCACTTTCCTCGGGGTATTAACTTAGATATAAGAAGAACTAGATCGAGAAACCTTTCGCAACCTTAGTCGTCATACAAGTGGCACATCAGGAGATCATTGTTTCCATCTCGAAGGTACATCGGACAACCCTGCACACATAGGTCAGAACCATATCAAGTTGCCTAAATCGTCAATAATATCCTCTCATAACAAAAGTAGAAAGAGAATATAAGCCTAAATGTAGAATTGAAATAATTTTTTTTTTCAAATGATAAGTCACAAAGTTAAAATTTAAGATAAGGATTTTTCTAAGCTATCAAATCTTTATCGGTTAAGCTAATTGACATATTAAATTATCACAAGTTAACTTATTTTTATACCTTAAATATTAATGTGATAGTGGAGAATTAAACTCATTTACTAAGAGGATTCAAAATCCAATAAGCCATCAAATCTTTACCAATTAAACTAATTAACATATTTAAAAAATAATTTATTATATTATCATAAGTTAATTTTTTATACTTTAAATATTAATATGATAGTGAGGAATCAAACCCACTTAGATTCGAAATCTCATTTGATATCAAATCTTTACCTCTCATCTCCTATATTAAAGATAAGTGTCTCTTCGGGTTGGATCCGAAGAGACACTAATCAATAGCGTAGGGATAACTCGAAAGGTGTGAGGATGTTTGATATATAAATATTATATTAAAAAATATAAATAAATCTATTACAACAGAAGACACAAGATAAAACATATGTAATATGCATGAGTCGAGAAAACTTAATCGCGTGAAAAGAAACCCGTTACGATGGGAGGCACAAAATAATATATGTCTAAGGTATATGAGTTGGGAAAATATGACCCACGTGTAAAGAAACTTACCATGGTAGAAAGCAAAAAGCAAAATGTGCCCAAAATATGCGAGTTAAAAAAAACTAACTCATATGAGAAGAACCGTACTACGACAGGAGATATAAGATAAAACGTGTCCGAGGTGCATGAGTTAGAAAAAATTGACCCACATAATAAGAAACACATCATGACGAGATGCATGAGATAAAATATGCCCTAAAAAACCTGACTCCCATAAGAAGTCAATCATGGTAGAAGGCATAAAGGAAGAGGTGCCTGAGGTATGCTCCACTTGAAGAGAGATTTTAAAGGCACAAGTCAGGTTAGGTCATGAAAGCTCGACCCACTGAAAGTGAGGCTTCTCTGAGGCATAGAGATAAAAAAAGCTTGACTCCCTTGAGGCTAACATGAGATGGAGAGATTGGGTGTTGACCCCCTCTTCGCTCGAGGTGAGTAGGCCAGGAATCGATCTCCTCTCCGACAAAGGTGGGTAGATCAGGCACCAATCTCCCCGTTTGTCTAAGGTTGAGAGGTTGGGCACTAACCTCCTCTTTGCCTAAGCTAGGTAGGTCGGGTGTCGACCTCCCTTTTTGCATGACGTGGAGAGGTTGAGCACCAAACCCCTCTCCACTTGAGGTGGGTAAGTCAGGTGCCAATCTCCACCTTTGCTCAAGGTGGAGAGGTCGGACATCGATCCCCTCTTTGCTTGAGGTGAAAAGATCGGGCAGCCACCCCCTCTTCACCCTTCACCCATAGTGGGTAGGTCAAGTGGCCTACTTCCTATATTACTCCCCCATTTTAGGTATACCCAAAGTATATTGGTTGAACACCCTTACTCCCCCTCAAAGAAGAAATCAAAATAGCATAAGGCCAATGTATCAGATGGATCAGACATCACGCTTTAAGACCATTTCAAAAAACTCTTAAAGCAGGGGGAGGGTGCAAATGATAGGAAGAATTTCATCAACCAATTATCATATGTTATATTTTTTTATGTAGCATCCAAACTGGAAGAATGTGACAAAAGTTATCCCTTACTAGTCTGCCAATGTGGATATGGGTCCAAAGTAGGTAATTATAGACTATCTTTACCCTTATCTCATACGTAAACAAAAAAGCTAAATTATGATTATTAAAGACCGTTGAAGGTTACCCCCTTGAAAAATATTCTATAGAATATTCTGTCATTTCACTACTAAGTATAAAAGCTCACTTTCAACATAGTTACGAGTGGTACTTTCTATTGTTAATTATTATACTCATCTTCATTGAGTTACTAATTTATGTATCAAAGAGATCCAATCAATAAAACTCTCTCAACCTTGATCTTCATACATATGGCACCTCGGGAGATCATTATTTCCACCTCAAAAGTATATTGAACAATCCTATACACATGAGTCAAAACCACGTCAAGTTGACTAAGACACCAATAATATTTTTTTCATAATAAAACAAAAAGAGAATATGAACCTAAATATAGAATTAATATTTTTTTTATTTTTAAAAAAATAAGTGATGAAGGAAAAAAAGAGGCATGTTTATCATTTAAGTTAATTGACTATCAAATCTTTATCATTTAAGTTAATTGATATATTTAAAAATTAATTTATTAAAGTATACTAAATTATTTTTATATTTTAAATATTAATATAATAATGAAGGATCAAACCCATTTATCAAGAAGATTCAAAATCTCACGTGTTATCTTTTATCCTATAGAGAATTTTAACATCAACCTTGCGCATGAATGACATGCACAAATCTGAGAAATTTGCATGCCTGTATCCCTAAACGCTTAGGAAATATTTTTCGAGTCAAATATATATATATATATATATATATATATATATATATATATATATATATATATATATATATATATATATATATATATTTCGTTCTAATCGCTAGCGATAGAACAGATTTATTCTATCGTGTTTTGCCATTTTTGAGCTCCAATTAATAGCGAATATTCCATCATAGATAGGTATGCTTGTATTTTGTGTGCATATACATAAATGCAATAGAATCAATTTCTGTATCTACAGTCACACCCAATGGAATCATATGTTTCACGCTTCGAAAGGTAAGCGAGCATGTTCATATGGATAACATCTGAGTCACGTTAGGCCGGTGCCAGGGACCACACCTGCAAGTGGCATTAGACGGCCGAGAGCCGCCTCCATCGGATAGTACTCATGGTAGCATCCCACCACACAACGACATGCGAAGACGATGATGGCGCTCGTTCCCGATGTCCGAGTTATCTACAGCCACCCTTGTCGGACACACATACTCATGCATGCATAGCATTAATTACACCGGTGGCGTAAGTGAAGGGTTCATCTCGAGGAAGAAAAGGGTGGATAGGTATGGCGGAGTATGAGTTCCTGTGCGAATCTCTGGAGGCGGTTGGTGGTGGGTCGTCTGTGCCTGCCTCCACAAATCAAATGCTATCGTCGTCTTCTTCCCAACGCATTTCAATTTGCCACACACAAGCCTTCCTCATCACGGCATCGTCATCATAACTAGCAAAAGATAAGAAGATGAGCATCTGGGTTTCATTAAAAGGAGAAGGTTATTCCACCAGTGATGTAACAAGCAATAACCCTTCTATAATCCCCATTATAAGGATAACCACGAATAATTTAGTGGAAATCCAGAAACGATCCACTTGTGTAATCATGAGATGCTAATAGAAGCTAATTACCAGCTTATTGTCGATCGATCGCATGTGATTGAAGTCGTTGACCGGCTCAAACTATTCCGTGCCCATCTTCTCAGCTCCCACCAATGGTCTATTCAAAGATGGAGACGCAACTTTCCTCCATTAAATTAGTTTTGTCAGCGCCCCAACTAACAGTAACTGTACCCATTTGTTGCACATCGAGTCTTATCTCCATCTGTGGGACGAGAAGCCATTTATTTGGTCACTCCCTTCGTTTCCAAGGCTTACAAGAACATGACATGATACCTCGTGATTGGGTGGGTGTTAATGAGGAGCAAATGACGACCATGAAATCTCTAATTATTTGGTTATTATATCTCCACTTGCCCTATTTATTTGATTGCAATACAAGGAAGGAACAGCTTGGCATTCGTCCGCTACCTGCGAGCAGATGTCTTCGAGTCATCAATTATTTTCCATATGCCAAAAATACCCTTCTTCCTACTGGGGCTTACTATGAAATGGTCGAATCGACCCGCGGTGGCAACATCGTGGTTTCTGGCGAAATATGAGGATAATTACTTCAAAGTATTGATTGCCAGGTCACCTGGTCCCACCGCCACTTCTTCTTCCACCCTTCCGTCCGCTAAACTTCCGTCACAGTCTCCGACTTCATAAGCACTCCGCCCCCATTCACGAGAGAGAGAGAGAGAGAGAGGAACGAAAGGGAGGGGATTCGACGGAAGGCGACGATGACGGCTGCTCCGAGCATAGCGACGGCGGTGGTCATGCTGTCATGCATCGTGACGGCGGCGGTTGCTTTGAACGTGACGACGTTGCCCTTCGACGAAGGCTTCTGCCACCTCTTCGGCGACGACAACCTCGTACGCTCCCCGGACGGCCGCAGCGCCCGTCTCATCCTCAACCGCTACTCCGGTACTTACCATCCCCGTCCTCGTTCGAGCATGCTCACCCTTGTTTACATATGTAGTATATATAGAGTGATTTATGCGTTGATCGTGGTCAATTAGGTTCGGGCTTCATATCGAACGACCTTTACGACCATGGGTTCTTCAGCGCCTCCATCAAGCTGCCGTCCGATTACACGGCCGGCGTCGTCGTCGCCTTCTATGTGAGTCCACGCCCTCTCATCTTCACTTTCCCTCTGCACAATATAGCGTTCTAGTAATCCTGTGTTGTTATTAGGAATCATACAATAGGAAAAAGGCTAGTTGTTCACGTTTCCTGCAAATTAATGAACCAAAATGGAATGGAGCGTCTGGTACATGAAGAAGGAAAGACACCTACGCCAGGCTTGTTGGTCCGATACCTTCGTGCTCCTTTTGGACCGTTCAAACATTGCTGTCAACTGTTGTTTCTTGTGGAGTTCGAAGTTGTGTTTCCACGTACTGGTCGAAGTTTTAGTACCATCACCACCCAAATACATTGAAGACTTTGAGTTCTATTGGATACAGACGTGCTCATCAATTTCAAGCATCTAAGGAAATGCTGGGTTATAGGACGTTGCACTAAACTGTTGTATTGATTCTGGTATTGATGCTGAGTTGTGGGATTCTGCTCCGCAGACTTCTAATGGAGATATATTCGAGAAGACACACGATGAGTTGGACTTCGAGTTCCTGGGCAACACGAGGGGTAGAGAGTGGAGGATACAGACTAATGTGTACGGGAACGGAAGCACCAGTCGAGGCCGGGAGGAGCGCTACCTCCTTCCCTTCGATCCCACCGTCGAAGCTCACCGATACTCCATCCTGTGGACCTCCGACTTCATCATGTATGCCCCTTTTTACCCTGCCATCTCATCTTACGGTCATGAAATATGCCTTTTGGGTACATCCTCAGAAGAAGGCATTTTTGGTTATTTACTCTCCATTTATACTCTGCTGCAGTAGTAATCTTTTTTTCCTTCTTTGAGATGATGGAATACAAACTGTCAGTATGCTACTCCTCCCCATGCAATGTTTCCTAGTCCATGCCAAGTTGACGACTGGGAAATACTAAGGGTCGTGTTGTTGGCTTTGCAGATTCTACATCGACGACACCCCTATCAGGGAGGTGGTCCGGAGCGACGCCATGGGCGGCGACTACCCGTCGAAGCCCATGTCCGTCTACGCCACCATATGGGATGGCTCCACCTGGGCCACCGGCAACGGCAAGTACAAGGTGAACTACAAGTACGCGCCGTTCGTCTCCGATTTCTCCGACCTCGTCCTCCGCGGCTGCCGCGTCGACCCCATCCAGCAGCCGGACTCCGCCAGGCGGTGCGCCGAGGCCAACGAAGACCTCCTGACGGCCGACTTCGCGGTGATGACCCCCAAGAAGCGTGCCGCCATGCGCCGCTTCCGCGAGCGCTATATGACCTACGCCTTCTGCTACGACACCAACCGGTACCCGCTCACGTTCCCGGACTGCGACGTGATTCCGTCGGAGCAGAGCAGGTTCTTCGAGTGGGGCGAGACCAAGTACCCGAGGGAGCGCCGGAGGTCCAGGCGCCAGATCCGGAAGCCGCCGAGGGCCGGCGACCCAAAGCGCGAGGCGGACGTCTAACTGCTGCTGTTGCTATGCTCATCCCGACAATATTCTTCCATTCTTGGTTGTTCATGTGAGTAGGACTGATGGCTTCTTTGTTTTGTTATGGTGTGTGCGTCGTCGGTACGTATTCGTTGATTCTTTGTGGGTGGTCATCCGTGTGCAACTTAATTTTATGTGAAGCAATGGTGGGTGTTTAGATGCTATCAAGGGGTTGGTTAGATATCGTAGTCATGGAGGACATCGATGGATGCTTTTCCCGAGTGCGAGCATATCGGGTTGGCCATTTGGTACACGCAAATATATGCTATCTTATCTTTCGGTGTGTTGCTTGGATATTGGATGGCTGCGCAGGGCAGAACCGGGAAGGCCCAAAGCAGCGTCTTTTTAAGCCATATGTATCTTCGTGGGTGGTCCAACTCGGTCGCCGTTGGTGATGGAAGTGGGCGGAGTTACTGCGGAAAAGCAATGTGAACTTGTAGAACGTGGGGGGCGGGGCGCTCCGGCGACCAACGGAGGTGGCTTCTCATCTGTCACGGCTGGTGGATAAGGAATATGGTGTGAGCAGCCACTGATTGTTAATCTCACGTTGTTAGAGGGAGAAGCTGAGACGGTGGGTCTCTCTGGTGTCCCTCACGAGTCCACAGATCCACAGCAGCAGCCGCGGCTGATTAGGTGTGGGGTATGGGTCCTCCATTCGAGGTAATCCATCCGATGGATTGCAACGGAGACACCGGAGGACTTGAGGGGGTCGACGATGGTGAGTTGCTGCCAGCGAAATAAAGGGGAGACACAGTTGGGAGGTTTGCACGGCACATTCTTCATCTTCTTCTTCATGTTCCTGTCAAAAAGAAGACGGCCAACGTACTGAAATGAGCTGCGTTCCCATAGGAGATCTATCCTTGTTTTGGATTCAAACATTTGGTGCGCGTTAATCTCCAGAAAACATTTCTGCAAATCCAAGGATACATTGAGACTCTGCACCCGACCACAACACCCAACGTTTACTGCACCCCCTATGATGATTCTGCGGCAAGACACAGATCATCACAAACTTTTTTTCTTCTCCTTCACTGTCTGTAAAAGGGAGACGTATGGATATGGGTCGAGTTGAGCTTTGATGGGCCGCCAAGCGATCATTCGGCATGACACTACTTGTTGAGCGGTGAAACGTGTCTCTCACCAGAGCTGAAACCCCCGACTAGGCAGCTATCTTGACGTTGTCTGTTGACTCGGATCATTGACTATTTCTAATTTATAGGATTATTCCATATGTCGGACACTAATAGTCAACTTGAGTTCAGACTTATTACAAGCTTCAAAGCTAGATATAACTGAAGATTTAAAGGGCAAGTTACACTCGATTAGAGATCGTACAAAAACTAGCGTTGTGATGTAACTGAAGCCGTCAGATCAAAAGGATTATAGAATGTTTTGTTGTCCATTGTGCTAATCCAATGAGGTATTGGACTCTAAACATTTGAATTAGTATCGGATTAACAATGATGTGACATCAGGTCAACCATTTACTTCCGACCTCATCACATACGAACACTAATATCTTCCCATCAATAGTCTCCCACCGCATTTTCCTTTCATTTAGTTTACTACATACACGACATCTTTGATTCAACCCTACGACGGCCCAACGTGGCCGACGGGAAAGAGTAAAGGAGACATTCGAATATTCCTAAGGAGATATGCTTCAACTGTAGAGAGAGAAAGACAGAGAGCTCCGCTGTTGAAATCGAACGGTTGTGATTACAGATCCTATGTGTAATCGTCCAGGCGGTGATGATAGTATCTATCACACGACTCACTTTTCGTATGAGTACTTATATTTTATAAGCGTTGTCCCCTCCACACCACCAAAAAAATCGTTCCCCTGATAGTGATAAGATTGCCTCGGAATTGAAGATGAAACATCACCGACGAAAGGAACGAAACGGCTCGATGACCGACGCACCACCAATTTCTTCTCCGGTCCGACACCGCAAGTCGGCAGCGTCTATTTGCGAGCAGTCAAAACCTTTTGGTATTTACATGTAGGATAAATAATTAAAGAACGATTAAGATTTCTTTATTTTTCGATATTTTTTTATTCACGCTAAAAAAAAAACGAATCATATGCGGACAGGAGAGGAGTGGCTGACGTACTCACGAGTAAAGAGCACGGGCCACGTGGAGGGATCTCGTCGCGTCCAACGCCGGTGCTTCGTTGGATCCCCACGCCCGTCGCAACGGATCCCGCACAACGCATGCGACCGTCACACGATGCCACACGAGACTTGTGGAGGGAGGAGAGTCGCGGAGAGATCAAGGGGAGGGCCTCGATTCAATGTGTCTTGGGAAATGATGCCGCTATTCGAAGCAGCTGAGAGATTGACCGTCCAAATGTCTTCTGTTTTGGGAGCTGGCAGACTACTCACCGCCACCTTTTCTTTCATCTAAAGCACAGTGTAACGGCATTATATGTATATATATATATATATATATAGACAGTTTGTTCATGAACTGTTAGATTATACGTATATATAGTGCATAATCTCTTCGTTGATCAGAAAACATGCGTGTCATCCCTTCAAGGAGCGTGCGGCTCAACCTTCTAATCAAGGCATCCGTCTCCTCCGCGGTACCGCAAGTCTCGTCGGGCTCTCTCGCGAAGACAAGGATGCACCGACAATCCCTCGGAAAGCCTGGCGCCAAGCATCTCATCTCCGGCGCAGCGGGAGGGGCTCGGAAGGAGGAGAAGCGGAAGAGCATCGCCAGCGCCGCTGGATCTGCGGTTGCGCAGGCGCCGGCGGCGGAGGATATGGCCATTGAGGCAAACAAGCTGCTCCGAGCGAGCTCGAGGGCGAACAAGTCCATCCATCTCATCCCCGTCTTCACCATCCTCTGCCTTCTCGTCCTTTACTTCTTCTCCCACGAGCCCTCCCCCACAGGTTGGTTTGCCCTGCCGCCGCCGCCCAGATAAATTGTACGCTGACCTTCTCATCTCCCTGCTTTGTCGACTACAGATATGCAAGCCTTCGGTAGCTCCGCCGTGCGATTAGACTCCAGAGGTATAATGCTGCTCCTAAGGGCTCTCCTCGATGGCCTTGTGTTGCTTTCTCTCCGTGATTCTTCTATCGGCGGTCTCTTTTGGACTTAATATCTTCTTCTGTTTGTAGCGGCGGTTTCCGGAACGGAGAGAGGCAACGTGGCGTTGGCGACCCACCGAAGCCGTCGGAGGCTGAAGGCAGCGGCGGGGCCGGTCCGCCACCGGAAGATCAGGAGTTCCTGGCTGTGCCGGGCACGTGAGGACTGCAGTCGGTGACGAGCAAATAAAATGCATGGTTGCTATCGTTCCGTGTAGTCTCTCATCTGTGGGTAATCGTTCTATCTCTTTCCATGATCATTAAAGTGCACGAGAGTCGCAAAAGAATTACGAGGGATAACTTGAAATTTACAAGATAGATTGTGTAATCTTTTGTTTCAAGACTGACGTCACCCAATACGAGCTTGCGAGTCGAATCGCACTTAATAGCAACGCAACGCACATCAGGAACATAAATCACAGCGGCACGCATCGCAAAGCATCATGATAGCAAAACGGGTGCACACCCCACGGCGATGATTGGTGTGTGCAATTGATCTCGCTAGGAATCTTCAATTCACAATCCGAATCAATTGATTAGAGAAGTAGGCTCACCCAATACTTTATATAATTATTTATTCACAATCCGAATCAATTAATTATTTATATAATTAATTATCTTTAGTATCTCGATTTCTATATTTTCAAAAGTTACATTCAGAACAATATATATACTTATATGAAAGTGAAACATTTAATATTATTTCTCTTTACGTCATCGATTCTATCGATGAAAATATCATAAGATTTATCATCAAGCATGTGTTGATTCTGTTTTATTTTGTAATTATAAAGATCTCAATATAATTTTTAAAATTAAAATTAAAATTAAAATATTAAAATTATAAAAAATATATAATTATTTCTCTAACTATCGCCACGGACCATATGTTAGGGGAGCCCACCTGTTGCTTTTGTATCTCTCTGTTTGGGACATCGTTAACTATCTCGATCGTCACAGGTGGTTTGGACTCGTCATCTGCTGTTGGATCGATGAATTGCTCCGGTACATCTCGTCATCGTTATCGTGGAAGCATGCAGGACTGCCGGCTAACAAATAGAGGTCTGATTCGTATCTCCATTTCCGATGTGCACCATCTCTGTGATCAAAAGAAAGCTGGCATCAAGCAACGTTCTGTTTTCCTCTTCTTTTTACTGTCTGCTTCGTGTTTCCAAAGAGAGCACTGAGGCTTCCATTTCACCTGAACCGATGAGACGTCATGACAGCTACCCCCTCCTTATCGTCGTCCCTCGCCTGCGATCGAGCATTCCACGTATGAAACACAAGAGTCGATGATTGAAGATGACAGCCACGCACGTCATCCCACCGTGTCGTAGCAAAAACTTCGTCCTGCACCGTGTTCATCATCAATCATTGCAAAAAACAAAGCTCAGCTAATCAATCCCCGGGGTAGCTGGAGAAGGGCAGCTGACGGGGCTGCACCACCTTCTTCCCAGTTGGGGCTCCTCTTCTAAGCCACACACAACTCCATAAGGGTAGTCGACCTGATGTTTGTTGTTCTTCTACGCCCGATAAAACAAAAAGTGTAATTGCAATCGTGGCACATAATTGGTGTGTCATCTGTAGACGGAGACTGTGCGATTCCGACGCTATCATTGAATTAAATGATTGACGAAGCAACCGACAGGGATTGGCTGTGGAAGGAAAGAAAAGGTTACGGCCGTGGAGACTCGCCCCTCAGGAACGGCCGAACCTATGTAATGATAATGCAAATAATCGTACCATATCACGCACTCATCACATACATAGTGGGTCTACTGCTTTGGAAATACCACCAGCATGATGTGACTCGGTTTTTGGCCCGAGTAAAGGATCGGGCAGTACGCCATTCGTTGTTTTTATACTGCTGCTGCTGCTGCTGCTGCTGCTGGGCCAAACACATGTGAACTGCACCCTGTAATTGTAGCCGCTGTCCAGCCATTACGTTCTAATAATGCTACTGTGCTGACTTGATTGAGTCATCAGTGGGCTTTACGAACTAAACATCGATCGATTCAGGGCATGAGGACACGTCAACGTGATCGACGAGTTCTCCGAGGCGCGCGCTCTCTCTCTCTCTCTCTCTCTCTCTCTTCGTATGTTGTTTCACTGTGGTGACTGCAAGCTGGAACCTCAGTGCTGCCAGTGCCCACTGACGCCACTATGAAAGGTGGTGAATGAGAGGGAATCGTTCGCTTTTCCTCGGTCTCCATCTGTGACGGCCCCAAAAGCCCGAGAGGGAGAAGGTCGCCTTTCCCCTCTCTTACCTCGGCGACGCTTTGCTGCTCTCTCTGGTGATTTTTCAATTCCGTCGGGCCAAAAAGGTTCATCTCTTCTCTCCGTGACGTGAATTACACCGAATCTTTTACCCTTCTTTCGGTTCCTCTGCACTTTCGGTTCTAAATATTCTCAAAACAGGTTAGAGGTCTGCTGTATCTGTCTTCTGTGTTCTTCTAATCAGTGGCTGATTTCCTCCTCTATCTCGAACCATCTCTTTGTCGTTTGTTTTCGATTGTTTGATGGGTGTCCACCGGGACATCTGTAGATAGGCTATAATCTGTGCTGCTAAAGTCTACCATTTTACCTGCTTTTTAGGGCTGTCGTTGGCAAAAAGATTCTCTGTGCATTTACTGTTTGTGCTAGCAATTTGATCCGCAATGCAATCATCCTTAGCATGCCTGTGACGATGTTCTTTATCATGTTTGTGGTGTTGCTGTTTCATGATGTCTTTCAGATTGTTATTAGAACTCCATGGTTTTGAGTCTTTTGTTTTGTGCATCTGCAGGTTTGCGTTAGAGTGAGTTAGGCCTAAAATTCAGCTGAAACATAACATAGATTTCAGCAGGAATTCCTGCCGTCAGTGTGGTATATGATCTTTGACCGATTTGTCGTCTCTTAGGATCTGCAAAGCCAGTGTGTAAAATCTTTCCAAGTCTTCCAATACTCTGTTCGGCATAATGGTTTCGAGATCGTACTCAAACCTTCTGGACCTTGCGTCCGGCGAGTTCCCCGCATTTGGCCGGACTGGCAAGAAGCTCCCTAGAGTGATGACTGTCGCCGGGATCATCTCCGATCTGGACGAGGAGAACACCAACAGTATGACGTCGGATGGCCCCTCTTCTGTCTCTCAGGACCGGATGATCATAGTCGGCAATCAGCTGCCGATTCGCGCTCACCGAAGACCCGATGGCAAGGGCTGGAACTTCAGCTGGGACGAGGACTCGCTACTCCTGCAGCTCAAAGATGGTCTTGGGGAGGACGTGGAAGTCGTATATATCGGTTGCTTGAGGGAGGAGATAGATCCCGCAGAACAGGATGATGTTTCCCAGACGTTGCTCGAGACGTTTAGGTGCGTCCCGACGTTCCTCGCGCCCGATCTCTTCTCCAAGTTCTACCATGGGTTCTGCAAGCAGCATCTGTGGCCCCTGTTCCACTACATGCTCCCCCTGTCGCCGGACCTCGGCGGGCGTTTCGACCGGGTTCTTTGGCAAGCTTATGTTTCGGTGAACAAGATATTTGCGGACAAGATCATGGAGGTGATAAATCCGGATGATGATTTCGTGTGGGTGCATGATTACCATCTTATGGTGTTGCCGACCTTCCTGAGGAAGAGGTTTAACAGGGTGAAGCTTGGGTTCTTTCTCCATAGCCCGTTTCCCTCTTCCGAGATTTACAGAACCCTTCCTGTGAGAGATGAACTCCTCAGAGCTCTCCTGAACGCCGATCTCATTGGCTTTCATACCTTCGATTACGCCAGACACTTCCTTTCTTGCTGTGGTAGAATGCTTGGCCTCGCCTATGAATCGAAAAGGGGCTACATTGGGCTCGAGTACTACGGCCGCACTGTCAGTATCAAAATCCTTCCGGTAGGGATTCACACCGGTCAGCTCCAGTCGGTTCTACGGCTTCCAGAAACCGAAGCTAGAGTATCTGAGCTCAGGGATCAACTCAAGGATCGAATCGTATTGCTTGGAGTGGACGACATGGACATATTCAAAGGAATAAGCTTAAAGCTTTTGGCCACGGAGCAATTGCTTGTGCAGCACCCGGAGTGGAGGGAGAAGGTGGTGTTGGTGCAGATTGCCAATCCCGCAAGAGGCCGAGGCAAAGATGTGCAAGACGTGCAATCGGAGATGCATACCACCGCTGAAAGGATAAATGAGAGATTCGGAAGGCCAGGCTACAAACCTGTCATCTTGATCGATCACCCACTTCAGTTCTACGAGAGGATTGCGTATTATGTAATCGCCGAGTGTTGTCTGGTCACGGCAGTGAGGGATGGGATGAATCTGATACCCTACGAGTATGTGATTTGCCGGCAAGGTACCGAGAGATTGGATGAGATACTGCAGCTCGGTCCATCGGTGCCGAAGAGGAGCATGCTGGTTGTCTCTGAATTCATCGGCTGTTCTCCATCCCTCAGCGGAGCCATTCGTGTCAATCCATGGAACATAGATTCCGTGGCTGAGGCAATGGACACAGCTTTGGTAATTCAGGAGTCGGAGAAACAATTACGCCACGAGAAGCATTACAAGTATGTGATCACCCACGATGTTGGATATTGGGCAAACAGCTTTTTGCAAGATCTGCAGAGGGCTTGCCGAGACCACACGATGAGGAGGTGCTGGGGGATTGGTTTCGGCTTAGGCTTCAGGGTCATTGCGCTAGATTACACTTTCAGGAAGCTGTCCGTAGATCACATTGTGTCTGCTTACCGAAGGACCAAAAGCCGAGCCATTCTCTTGGATTACGATGGTACCATAATGCCTCAGACGTCGATCAACAAGACCCCGACCCCTGAGGCCATCAGTACATTGAAGAGCTTGTGCGATGATCCCAGGAATGTGGTGTTTCTTGTTAGTGGAAGAGACAAGATCACTCTGAGCGAGTGGTTTTCTTCTTGCGACAAGCTAGTAATTGCAGCCGAGCATGGCTACTTCCTGAGGTAAAACATACATTGTCTGGATCGTTGGACATCTTTAGAGTCGTAGTTCGAGTCTGCATTACCGGCTTCACTTATATAGTTCGATCTGTTTTCAGGGAGAAGTCTGATGCAGAATGGGAAACATGCGTTTCGGTGGCCGACTTCGACTGGAAGCAGATGGCAGAGCCGATCATGCAGTTATACACCGAAGCCACTGATGGTTCGTCCATAGAGACCAGGGAAAGTGCACTCGTCTGGCACTACCAGTATGCTGATCCGGATTTCGGGTCATGCCAAGCCAAAGAACTCCTCGACCATCTAGAGAGCGTCCTCACGAACGAGCCGGTGTCCGTGAAGAGTGGCCAACACATCGTAGAAGTCAAGCCACAGGTCAATCAAAAACATTCCTTTGTGATACCCGCATACTTTCAACGACATCACCGTGTATCATCTAACCCAGCTCAAGATGTGCAGGGTGTGTCGAAGGGCGTGGTGGCGGAACGACTTCTGTCCACAGCAAGCCAGAAGGGCGTGCTTCCGGATTTTGTTCTTTGCATAGGTGATGATAGATCAGACGAGGATATGTTCCAAGTCTATCATGAGCGCCATGGCAGGACCTAATCTCTCCTTCCGGATTTTGTTCTTTGCATAGGTGATGATAGATCAGACGAGGATATGTTCGAAGTCATCATGAGCGCCACGGCCGGACCTAATCTCTCACCGGTCGCAGAAGTGTTTGCCTGCACGGTCGGGCAAAAGCCGAGCAAAGCAAAGTACTTCTTGGAGGATACTACCGAGATCGTCAGAATGTTGCAGGGCCTCGCGACGGCTTCAGACCAAATGGCTCGTGCTGCTGCATCTCAAACTCCGCCACAGTGAATCAAGCAATGCTGTTTTTGTTCCTCCCGTGTTTATGTATATATGTCCACGTCTGCTATAACATAAACTTGGTAGAACATTTGCGCTCTACTTTTGGGATTGGACTGCTCCTTCTCGATTTCTTATTGTGTGCGACTAACTCACATATGGTTAGTCGTTAATGCATCCGCAACATCTTAACATAGCGAGGTGTTAGTTTGACAAGTTTCACGTAATCCCATATTAGGAAAATCAAGTTTGGTATCTCTTATTTAAACTATAAATAAGAGTTTGGGCTTTAAAGTTAGATGCACCATAACAAAACTTAATTGTTTGCTTTAAGCTTTTCTTGTTTAGTAGTTTCTGGTCTAGGAATATCTTCCTAAAGCATTTGTAATAGTCCCTATTTTATAGTAGTGATTTGCTCTTCCTTCATCCGTGGATGTAGGTCAATTGATCGAACCACGTAAATCTGGTGTTCTTGTCGCTTTTATTATTTATGCTTTATTGTCTTTCTTTTTGGGTTGTCAAATTATCCTTTGGTAAATTTCCTAGCACTAGCTCTAACAAACTAGTATTAGAGTCTGGTTTCGGGATCTTTTGGTAACAATGACAATAACAAAGATCGTTGTCGAGAAATTCGACAGAAATATCAATTTCGGCATGTGGCAACTCAAGATGAAGGCCATTCTGGTTCAAGACGGAGTTGATTTGGCACTACAAGGAGCTAAGAACATTCTAGATGGTACGTCAAAGGAAGATCTTATGGGTATGGATAAGAAGGCCCGATCAAGCATTATTCTAAATCTCTTTGACGAGGTTTTACGGGACGTAGCTACGGAGACTACGGCTAAAAGCATGTGGGACAAACTTAAAGCCTTGTATATGAAGAGGACAGTGGAGAATCGATTCTACTTGAAGCAGAGTTTGTATATGCTTCGGATAATTGAAGGTGTACATATATGCTCTCACATCTTGATAAATTTGATTCCTTAGTTATGGATTTGGAGAATATAGATACGAAAATTTATGACAAGGATAAGACCCTGTTACTTTTGTGTTCTTTTCTCTAATCCTTTAAGTATTTCTGTAATACTATGATTTATGGAAAAGAAATAATTTCATATCAGAAAATTAAATCTACACTAAAATCTAAGGAGTAGATAGACAGGGATATCACTGAGGAAAGTAAAGAGAATCAGGCTGAGGGTCTGGTTGTCAAGGGGAGAACAGATAAAAGGGAATTTGATAGTAGTAAATCTAAATCTAGATCTAAATCCAGACATAGAAATTTGGAGTGTAGATATTATCATAAAATGAGGCAATTGCTTTAAATTGAAAAATAAATTAAAGCAAAAGGAAAAAATTATTGAGAAAACTACTGAGTCCGCTGAAGCTAGTGTAGCAGCTGATGAGAATGTTGGAAATATTTTCTTTGCTATTGATGACAGGACGAGGTCTAAAAATGAATGGATTTTAGATTCGAGTTGTTCTTATCACATGTGTCCTAATAGAGATTTATTTTCCACATATAAATCTTGTAATGGTGGAATTGTTTTGATGAGCGATAATGTCGCGTGTGATGTTGTTGGTACAGGCACAATCCGAATTAAAATGCATGATGGTATTGTGAGGATGCTCACTAATGTTAGACATGTTCCTGATTTAAAAAAAAAATTCATTTCTTTAGGCACCCTAGAGGCTCTTGGGTGTAAATACGCTGCTGAAGGTGGAGTTATGAAAGTTTCTAGAAGTGCTCTTGTTGTTATGAAAGCTTGTAGGTCTGGTATCTTGTATATTTTGCAGGGAACTACTGTCACAGGCTCAATTGCAGTCTAGTCATCATCATTGTCTGATTCTGACATCACCAAATTATGGTATATGCGTTTGGGTCATATGAGTGAAAAAGGTTTGAGCATATTGAACAAAAGGGGTCTTCTTTGCGGACAGAGTACTGGGCCACTGGATTTTTATGAACACTGCATTTTTTAAAAGCAGAAAAGAGTCAGCTTCAATTCTTCGACAGTTCACAAAACAAAAGGTACTCTTGACTATATTCATTCAAACCTTTGGGGTCCAGCTCATGTTCAATCTAAGGGTGGTGTCAGGTATATGTGACTTTCATTAACGATTATTCCAAGAAAGTTTGAGTTTATTTTCTGAAGCATAAAAATGATGTTTTTCTAACATTTAAACAATGGAAGGCTTTGATTGAGAAGCAAACAGGTAAACAGATTAAGCGGCTTCGAACAGATAATGACATGAAATTTTATGAATGTAACTTTGATGAATTATGCAAAAATAAAAGAATTGTTCGGCATCGCACTATTAGGATAATGCCTCAGCAAAATGGTGTGGCCGAATGTATGAACAGAATACTCTTAGAGAGAGCAAGGTGTATGATCTCAAATGCAGGGTTGACAAAGGGCTTTTGGACAGAGGCGATTAATATGACCTGTTACATTGTCAACCGCACTCCTTCTACAGTACTTAACTTTAAAACTCCAGAGGAAGTTTAGTCATGTACTCCTGCTGATTACTCCGATTTAAAAATTTTTAGGTGTCCAGCATATATGCATGTAAATGAAGAAAAATTAGAGCCTCGAGCGAAAAAGTACATTTTCCTTAGGTATGCTTCTGGGGTGAAAGGATACAAATTATGGTGTTCTGATCCCAAATCCCCAAAATTTATAATCAGTAAAGATGTTACTTTTGATGAATTGTCTACGTTATCTTCTAAAGAGGAATCTACTAGTTGTACAAATGATAGTGCGCAGAAGCAGGTGGAGCTTGAGATTGGTAGTTCAGATTATTTTAAGTCGAACTCTTTTACTCAAAGAATGCCAATAGATAATCCCGAGTCTACTGACGAAAATGATCTAGAGGATGAGCAATATTTCATAGCCAAGGATAGACCACGGAGAGATATTCGACCACCAGAAAGATATGCAAATTTGGTTACATATATTTTGTCTGTTGCAGAAGAAACAAGTCAAGTTGGTGAGCCTACTACCTACTCAGATGTAGTTACTTATAATAATTTCGCTAAGTGGTTGATTGCGATGACTGAAGAAATTGAATCTCTCCATCAGAATAGAACTTGGGATCTTGTAAAGCCACCTTCGGGTAAGAAAATTATTGGATACAAATGGGTCTTCAAAAGGAATAAAGGTATTCCAGGGGTTGAAGATGCAAGGTACAAAGCATGATTGGTTGCAAAGGGCTATAGTCAGATACATGGTGTTGATTTTAATAACGTATTTTCACCTATTGTTAAACATAGTTCTATTTGTGTTTTTCTTGCTTTAGTTGCCATGTATGATTTAAAATTGGAGCAACTTGATATCAAGATAGCTTTCTTACATGGTGAACTTGAAGAACAAATTTACATGGAGCAACCTCATCGATTTGAAGTTGACGGTAAGGAAGACCATGTTTGTTTGTTAAAGAAATCCTTGTACGGATTGAAACAGTCTCCAAGACAATGGTATAAGAGATTTGATTCTTTTATGTTGCATCATGGTTACACGAGGAGCATGTATGATAGCTGTGTCTACTTCCGGAAATTAACTGATGGCTCTTTTATATATTTATTGCTTTATGTTGATGACATGCTTATTGTAGCTAAGAATTTATCAGAAATTCATACTTTGAAAATGCAACTGAGTAGTGAATTTGAAATGAAAGATTTAGGAGCAGCTAAGAAAATTCTTAGCATGGAGATCAAAAGAGAACGAGGAGTTGGAAAATTATTTCTGACCTAGAAAAATTACCTCAAGAAAGTCTTGGAGAGGTTTGGCATAAAAAACGCTAAGCCAGTAAGTACTCCTCTTGCTAGCCATTTTCGGCTATCTGCTGCTCAGTCACCACAATCAGTTGAAGAGGAAGAATATATGGTGCAGGTTCCATATTCTAATGCCATCAGTAGTATTATGTATGCAATGACTTGTACTCATCCAGATATTTCACAAGTAGTCAGTGTGGTTAGCAGATATATGTCTCGCTCGAGTAAAACACATTGACAAGCTGTGAAGTGGATTCTCAGATACTTGCAAGGGACTTCATATGCTTGTTTGGAGTTTGGGAAAAATCATGACACTTTGGTTAGTTTCGTCGACTCTGATTATGCTACGGATCTTGATAAATGAAGATCTTTGACAAGCTATGTTTTCTATGTTGGTAGTTATGTAGTTAGTTGGAAAGCTTCCTTACAACCTGTCATGGCTTTATCTACTACAGAGGCAGAATATATGGCAGCGACAGAGGTGATCAAAGAAGTCTTATGGTTAAGAGGTTTGTTCGGCGAATTATGTCTATATCAAGGTGTTACTACAATTTATTGTGATAGTCAAAGTGCTATTCATTTGACTAAAGATAAGATGTATCATGAAAGGACGAAACACATCGATATGAAGTTTTATTTTATTCGGGATACCAGGGAAAAGTCCTTATTCAGAAAATTCATACGAAGGACAATCCAGCTGATATGGTTACGAAGCCTCTTCCGGTTTACAAGTTCAAGCAGTGCCTGGACTTGGTTGGTGTTCATTGTTAGTGATTGCCCGTTGGGGCTTTTGTGGAGAAGGTGGAGCAAGTTTTGTTAATTGTTAATGTTGAGACATGCCAATGTGGAGATTTGTTAGTTTGGCAAGTCCCACATAGTCCCATATCAGGAAAATCAAGTTTGGTATCTCCTATTTAAACGAAAAATAAGGGTATGAGCTTTGAAGTCAGATGCACTACAAGAAAACCTAATTGTTTGTTTTAGACTTTTATTGTTTAGTAGTTTCGTATTTTATGGCCTAGGAACATCTTCCTAAAGCGTTTGTAATAGTCTCTCTTTTATATTAGTGATTTGCTCCTCCTTGGAAGTACATAAATTTGGTATTTTTATCGCTTTTATTATTTTTGCTTTATTATTATTATTTTTATTATCAAATTATCTTTTGATAAATTTTCTGATGCTAGCTCTTGATAAGTAGATGAGATTTCCCTAACTATTTGAGGAAATCTCTTTACTCTGTTGAGGGAAATCCTCTAACCTGTTGAGGAAAATTCTCCCTTCTAACCTGTATAAAAGGAAGGGGGATATGTTAATAACAATCAACTTCTTCTATAACTTGTTTATCTATTTATTTTCT